TCCTCCTCCCCCTCCTCGTCCCCTTTTTCTTGCCCTGGGCCTGCGCACGCCACAACGAATATGAACACTGCAATGTTCACGTACTACACAACGCCCGTGTGCGCATTCAGCGCCCGTATACACCACTCAGCGCCGGCACCTACAAACGCCGCGCTCCAACCGCCGCGCCAATTCCCTTCAGCAACAGAACAACACTGCGCCCCTGAGAGCACCACGCGACACGCACGCAAGCGCCGCTGTACCTCGCGAGTGCCACAGCGCCCCCGTGAGCACAACAGCATACCTCTGAACACCACAGTAGCCTACGAGCGCCACAGGACGTCCGCAGTCGCCACTGGACGACCGCCGCGACGTGACTAGAGGGGGGGGGGCGGAGCCAGTCACGCGCGTGATCGCCAGGGGCGTTTCCGAACGGGCTCATAGCACGTCGCTCTGCTCCGCGGGGCGGGGGGCTGGGAACGGCTCGGGACGCTGGCGCCTGGGGGCTGGAACGTGGTGAGCGTGTCGCGCAGGGGCGCGGTGGGCTACAGCAGCCAGAGCGATACGCTACTCAAACGTCCCTGACCCCAACTCGGGGATGGACAGACCCCCCTTTAGTAAAACGTGGTTTAGTGAAAACGACCTGAGGCCCAAACCTGGCGGGCGCAAGCCTGGAAAATAACGGCCACGGCGCCCTCTCGAGAACCGAAAACGGACAATTCACTAATCGACGTGTCACTGTTGGGGGTTCTGTCCACCCCCGACTAACTGGCACCCAGGTATCCAGGAAATGTGTTTGTGGCGATGGGCGGCCCCAGAAGTCGAGGAACAACGCCGGCCATGAGAAAGACATGTCGTCGGAGATCCTGGTTTTGATCGCCCCCGGGCCCAGGAGCCGAAATCGGAGGAGTGAGGAGGAGGGAGGAAGGAGGAGGAAAGAGGAGGAGGGAGGGAGGAGTGAGGAAGGAGGGAGGAGGAAAGAGGAGGAACGAGGGGCAGGGAGGAGGCGTCGTCGAACGTCGGAGAGGGCGGTGCGCCGACGAAGCGCCTGCGGTCGAGCGACCCTGGCCCAGGCAAGCAAAGAAGAGTCGGAGTGCGACGTCGCACAACTTACCAGCCTGGAACATATCCCTATCCCTATGCTGGGCACCTCCTCATCACGATGCCAATCTTAGGGATTCCCTTATTTTTTGAGGGCGAATCCCTAAGATTGTCATCGCCTTTTGGCGTGTCAATCTTAGGGATAGGGATACGTTCGAGGCTGGTAAACAACGGACAAACATCCTGCGGGCAAGCGCCACCGAGGCAGGCAGATGAAGGCAGAGAGAGGCGTGCACCGCGCCAGAGCGAAGCGAAATGCCAAGGGACAGAGCCTGCGAAGTGACTGCCCGTGAGAGGCGAGGAAGGCGAGGAGGCCCAGGTGGGCGCGCGCCAACCCAAGTCGTGGGGAGAGGAGGGGGGGGAGCGGGAAAAGGAAGAAGGCGGGGCAGAGAGGCGAAATGCCCAGCCACGCGCGCCAGGGGGGAGCCACACGAGACGCAGAATCCGCGTTCCGTGCAGAACAAACTTGAACTCCAGGGGCAAACGCTGCGATGGCGACCTTGATAATTACCTGCAACTGGCAATGCGGAAACCAGCTCGAGAGCAAGAGAAATAGCAATTACAAAAAATGCGACGCGGCAGATCATCAAGCAGTGCCCAAGATGAACAGACAACGCAAGGCCACTGCGGGTGGAAACGCACTCCCAAGCAGAGCAACGACACTGCGAAGCACGGCCCGAAGGAGATGCGAAAAACAACAACCACTGCAGTGTCGAAGGGCGCGAGCAGCCAACCAACGCCGAAGCGGCGAACGGACGCGGGGAGGCAGAAACAGAGAGAGAGAGACTGGCCAGACCTACAGGCACGGAGCACGCAAGCACGGAGCGTCAGGATTACAAAATCCACGGTTCGCTAGGGACTGGAAAACAAAAAAACAAAACACACAAAAAACAAAAAAAAAAAAAAAAAAAAAAAAAAAAAAAAAAAAAAACTCCCGAAACCCTCCAAAAACCCTCCAGGAAGGGTTATTTGGATAGGCTTTGTCGCTTTAGAGAGGCACCAATCCCTAGCGAACCCTGGGCTTTCTGACGTTGGGAGTCGGGAGGAGCTGCGACAGGATCGGCAGCGAGCGTGGGCAGGCAGCGCCCGCCAACAGGAAGAGCGAAGGGGGCGACCCACGACGAGAGGGCAGGGAGGGGGCCAGACAGGGCAGGAACCTGGACACTACGCCACGAGCAAGAGCCTGAGCGACTCTGCCACGAGACTCTGGGAAGACGTCTGGGCACGGCAGGCTCGCGTCGTGCCGACTTCGGCGCTGGCTTCTGACACTGCGGGGACCGTTCAACCTTGAACGATCGGCCGTTTGCACAACGTCAGATCGTTCAACATCCACCGATTCTGTTTCGCCGGCGGCGTTCGATGTTGAACGCCTCGGGGATCTTCTGACCCGGGTCCAATCCAGACCCGGGTCAGTCAGGCCTTGCAAGATCCTGCAAGATCCTGCAAGATCCTGCACCCAAATCCGGGTCAATGCGAAGGATCCTGCAAAATCCTGGAGGATCCTGCATCCAAACACGGGTCGATGCGACCCTGGCCCTGCAGGATCCTGCAAGACCGGACGCTCCGACTGACCCCCGTTTGCATTGACCCCCGTCTCAGGGCTCCCGAACGCCAGCGGCGGGGTCGCCGCCGGTCAACACGACGCGAACCTACCGAAGGCTCTGGAACGGCGAGCTCAACACTCAGACCAAAGAGCCTGCTCGTGAGGCAACGCGCACTGAATCCAGCATGGCCTGCACATGAGGCCTCTGCCCTCCGTGCAGAGACGGTCCCCGTGCCAACGACCGTCGTGAGCAAGGTGACCGCAGCAGGCGCAAGAAGGGGGGCGAGACAGGCATGCACACCGTGCAGTGAAAGCCACCACTGCTGGTGCGCATCACTGGCCTAACTTGTTCGTGACAGGTGCGGAATACAGGCTGGCGGACAGAAGAAAGGTCGTCCTGACGAGCCTGGGCCTTCGGAAGAGGGTGAGAAAGGTCAGCAGAGCACACAGACGGCAGACACCCGAACTGAACAGCGTCCTCATAAAGGAGACCCGCAGCTCGAGCAGCCAAAAAGAAGGAGGATGTCTCCATCGTAAAGCTCCTGATGTGCGCGCGCGTTGTCAGAGTAGCAGCTCTTCGGGAGCCAGTGAGGATACGAATCGTCCGAACTCTCGCGGGAGTACCGGTCGGGCGAACGCGGAGGCGAGGGCGATCGAGCGCAAGGTTGCGAAGCCAAGCTGCAGCGTCGTCGGTCATCCTACGGCGGAGGGAAAAAACGCCCGCACTGAACAAACATATCGTAGGCGTTCTGGGTTTCGATGGCCCCTGGCCCAAAAATGGGCCCCAGAGTCCGAAATACGTGGAAAACGCCTGAACTGAAATAAGAAAATTATCCCAGCGCGACCCTACCTAGGAGTTGGAGCCTCTAGGAAAGCAACATTAGTAGGAGCGGTAAACGTCGTATTCCTCCTTCTCATCGTCGCAGTTGTAGCAGTAGTGGTAGTAGTAGTAGTAGTAGTAGTAGTAGTAGTAGTAGTAGTAGTAGTAGTAGTAGTAGTAGTACTAGTAGTAGTCGTAGTCGTAGTCGTAGTCGTAGTCGTAGTAGTAGTAGTAGCAGTAGTAGTAGTAGTAGTAGTAGTAGTAGTAGTAGTCGTAGTCGTAGTCGTAGTCGTAGTCGTAGTAGTAGTAGCAGTAGTAGTAGTAGTAGTAGTAGTTGTTGTTGTTGTTGTAGTAGTACCGAGTCGGCGTTGTCTGCTACAGGAGGGGGGGGAATCGTTTTGCAGGGCGTACTGTTTTTTACCCGCGGGTCGTCCTGCAACGATTTCCCGATCGTTCTGTTTTCGTTCTGCGGGTCGTTATGTTGGGGTGCTGCGAATCGTATTGCAGATCGCATTGCAATCGTATTGCGCGGCGTACTGCAGAAATTACCCTCTGAGGGGAATGTTGCAACATTTCCTTTTATCGTAGCTCGCGTGCACGGCGTGCAATGAGCGACACCGCTGGGTGATCGCGCGGGGTTGCTTGCGGGGGGCAGACAACGCCGACTCGATATGAAGGGGGCAGCTTAAATAAAGGAGGGGTGAGCACGAATACGAGGAGAAGGAGGAGAAGGAGTGAGGAGCGCAGGCGGAAAGCGAGGGAAGGGAAGAGCAGGAAGAGGAGGAGGAGGTGGAGGAGTCCCCCTCCCTCCTCCTCCTCCCTCTTTCTCCCTCCTTCGCTCCCACTCCTCCTCCTCATCAGTCCTCCCCCTCCCTTTTCTCCCCCTCCTCATCCACTACCTCTGGAGTCCTCCTCCTCCTCCTCCTCAGCGCTCCCTCCCCCCTCCCTCCCCTGCGGGCAACGGCAGCGGTTGGCCTGCGCAGTGAAGGTGTTATCCGAGTAAAGGGCGGGTGGCGGCTCCTCCTCCTTCCTCCCTCCTCCTCGTCCCTGCTTCCTCTCCGACTTCTTCTTTTCTCCTCCTTCCTCTCCTCTGCTCACCGTCTTCTCTCCCTCAGCCTTCCTCCTCCTAACCCCCCCTCTCTCATCTCCTCTGCTCCGTGGCCGGTTCCCACTGCTCGAGGCCCGACGCGGCCGCTAGGCCACTCCTCGGTGACTCGAGCTCGAGCTTAAATTATCAGCACCCGGCGTGCTCAGCAATGGCAGAAACTCGTTTCTTTTTGAGTGGTTCCAGGGGGTGTGTTTTCACGAGGGGTGATTTCAAGATGTCGTCACCATTTCCATTCATCATCTTGACACCATTTCCGCCATTGGCTTACAGGCCGCCCCGACAGGGGCCACCGATGCCACACTCGAGGGCGACGCCAAGGCCGATGGCAAAGTCCAGCGGCGAGGCCATACGCAAGGCCCCAAAGGAGAGCCTCGCCCTGGCCTTCACCGCCGTCGGCCTCGACATCACCCCATCGATGGTGGCTTCGATGGCCTTTCATGCGCATCTACTTGCGCTCCATGGCCTCCGCGGCCCTCTGCCTGATGGGCAGGAAGATCGAGGCCCACTTCGAAAACCTCTGGGCCTCCTTCTTGATGGCCCTCGTCTTGATGTCCCTCTCCTCCGCGTTGTACTGCTTCATGCCGTCGCTGTTGCACAGGCGCAGCAGCAGGGCCTCGCTCCTGGTCGCGCCCATGGCCATCACCACATCGGAAGCCTTGCTCACGATGGCGGCGTCCACCGCGGAGCCGACCAAACGGCACGCTTCGGAGTACTTCTTGATCAAATGCTGCATCTTGTCAGCCTCCGCGTACAGAACAAACTCTCTGCGCTGATGTCGATGCAGTCGGTGAGGGTCGCCGTCTTCTCGTCGAACGCCGCGTGCCAGCTCGCCCCGTCCTCGCCGCCAAACTGGCGGCTGGTGTTCTCCTGGATCGCTGCGTCAAGCACGGCGAAGGCGGAGGAAACGAACGTGTTCTTCTGGTCGGCCGCGAAGCGCTTGTGCTGAGCGAACTCTTCGCTCATCCTGGCCGCGCGCATGGACTCGGGAAGCTTGCACGAGTGCTTGTCGTACTCCACCATCTCTCCGAGCAAGCGGCTCAGCAAGGTCGTGAACCCATCATGTGGCTGGGTGTCGGTGTTCTCGCACTCACTGTGGAGAGCGATGGCGTGGCCGATGTCGGACTGCAGCTTGACGCAGGCTGCCCATGCCTACCAGCCGTCTGCAAGGTCACACTTCTGCAACATCGCATCGGCAAGGACGACCGCCTCGTGGGCCATCGTGTTCGCGACTCCGCTGCCCGCGTAAAGGCTGACCACTGCGGTGACCGCGTTCTGAATCATCTTGCCGACGCTGGAGTCCGCGGTAAACTTCGGGATGCCTTGGTGCTTCTCCATCTTGAGGCAGCCAATGAACTTCTGGCAATCAAACTCTGGGTCGAAGCAACCCGCGAGGCTCTCAGAGACGGCGCTGTCAAGCTCAGCTGCGGCCACGGTCGCAACAGTAGAGGCACACCATGTCGATATGTCGTCGAGGATGCTCTCCTTCGGCCACACCTCCTTCGCAGCCCCCGCGCACATACTAAGGTGCTCCACCTGGGACTTCGTCACAGTGTCGCCATCGGCCTCACCCACGGACTCCCGCGCACGCTGCAACAACTGGACGAGCTTGATCTCCCACTGCTTGGTAGCACCTGGCGCCAACGTGTGCTGTGCGCGTTGAATTGAAGCTGCTCCAGGGACGAGGTAAATACATTGGCAAAGCTAGCGCCATCTGATCCGAACCTGTCGATCCTTTCAATGGCCTTGAGCGAAGCGTCCATGGTTTCAACTGAAGGCAGCATGTCGGGAATATGGTTGAAAACGTGCAACGACCTGGTCTTGAAGAAGTCACCGTGGTAAAGGGCGAGCATGGCATGGGCCTGGATCGCCTCTTTCTTGTCCTGGAACTGCTGCATCGCCGACTGGAGCGCACTGAAATGGCGGGGGCTAGGAGCGTTCGCCACGACTGCAATGACGGAACGGATCGCATCCAAGAAGGCGTGCGTGTTCTCAGGGACCGGACCCATCTCCTCCAGGGCAGCCTCGAAGATTGACCCCATTGATGTCAGAAGGGCAACCGTGACGTCTACTGTGCGCTCCCCACGTTGAGCAGGCATCGGGATCAACTCGTGGACGACTACCTTGGACGATGCATCGATCCGCTCGTTCAGAAACAGGCGGAGCCCGGCAACCTTCGGAGCAAGAATGCTAAACTCTGGCTCCTCATGCACGATCTGGATGTCGGAATCCTCCTGGACGGTCTCAATCATGGACTGCTCTCCGCCGACGACCTGGTCGCCCTTGCTCCGAAAGGGGCTCACCACCAAGGTCACGCGGGCGATGTCGGCTGCCTCAACGCCGACGTCGTCGGCCTGGGCGAGGGCGATGGCCATCTGCTGGCACGCACACGCGTGCGCAAGCTTCGTGCACACGTGACCTGGACATTCAACCTTCAGGGCGTGCAGCTTCTGGCAGGCCTCCCACAAAGCCTCGCTGCCTCCTGGGTTCGCTGCGAGCTCCTCCATCAAATGGATCGCAGCGTCGGTCTTGTCCAAGAACTGCTCGAGCCTGCCAGCCTGGGGAGGGGGGGAGGTGAAGAGAAGGAAGAGGATGAGGAAACAGAGGAGGAGGAGGAGGAGGATGCAGGAGGAGGAGCAGGATGAGGATGGGAAGTAGGAGGATGAGACGGATGAGGATAATGACGATTAGGAGGATGGCGACGAGGAGGAGGAGGAGGGGGAGGATGAGGATGAGGAGGGGGAGACGGGGGATGAGGAGCAGGAGGAGAAGAAGCGGAGGACAATGAGGGAAGGCGAGTAGGATCATGAGGTCAAGAGTGGGAAGAGTCACGATGCTGAGGAAACGGATGAGGAGAAGGACAACGAAGGAGCTGAGGAGGAGGAAGATGAGGAGAGGGAAGAGGAGGAAGAGGGGGAGCGGAGGGGGAAGGGGGAGGAAGGGGAAGAGGAAGAGGGTAGGAGGGAGTAGGGGTGGACGGGTAAGGAGAGGGCCGAGAGGCTTCGTTCACCCTCCAGCTACTGGAGGGCGAATGAAGCTCGACGCGCCTGAAGCGTCGTCGCAACGGCTTGAAGCAGCCGCCTGACGCACTGGCGAGCCCACTGCATGCGCCTGGAGAGCCTGGGGTCCCTGTTGAACGCGTTCGCGACCGCGCAGACGCTGTGCCAGAAATCTGGAGACTTCGTCCGCGCCTGGCCCTCCATCATGTTGTCGTCCTCGTTCTGCTCCTGGTCGGGCTCGGCCGAGTGCGCTGCCGCTGGCGGCGTGCCGTCGGCGCCCACCGAGGGCGCAGGACTACCAAACGACATGCGACGGGGGATGCTGCCACCTGCACCTGAGCCATAGCCTTCGGCCCCGCCAGAATGAACCGATCTGGCATCGTCACCTGCCGTCGGCACGTCCTGAAGCCTCAGCATGTTCGGCGCCTGCGCCACAGCGGAAGCCACGCTCCTCGGGGAGGCCTGCGGAGTCCCACATGCCGAGCCTGGCCCTCCAGCATGACGAGGAGGCCGATGATCTCCAGGAGGTGGCGAAGCTGACGGTGTACGACCTGATGGAGCAGCAGCGCATGCAGCAGGCATGCGCACGTGCTTGTGGGCATCCTTCTTGCGCTCCAGCTCCTCGACGGCTTCGCTGATCTGCTCCTCCGTGTAGGACTTGATCCCTCTATTCTTCGGCTGGTACTTGCTCGCGAATTGCCCTCCCCACATGTCGTGCAACCGCTGCATCTCATGATCGAAAATGATTTGGCCCTGCGACTCGAACGTCTGCTCTGCCATGAGAGGCTGGTGCATCACGATTCGGCTGTTCAAATACCTGATGACCTTCGGCATCGTCCCGCCACCAGAACCGCTTGCAGTGTCGGAGCCAGGCGGTCGCAAGAATCCCGACTCTGTCCTGCCACCAGGGAAGTCACGCCTCAAGCCAGTCAACTTGACGTCATCCATTTTGACTCCGCGGGCGGTCTCGAAGGCCTCCTTCTCTTGGAAGTCAACGCACTCCTCCGTGTAAACGCCACCGATCGTCTCCCTGTAGACCTGGCACTGGCCCCATGGTCTCGGTGCCTGGGGATGCGCCAGCGCCGCCTTGTGCTCCGTCAGGTCCTTCTGGCACGGGCTGGCCTTGCCCTTCTCATCAGCAGTCTGCTTCGCCTTGCACAGCGTCGCGACGTCGACGTACCTGATGAGGGCGAAGGAAGCGCATCCTTCGCAAACAGGCCCGATCGGAACAATGATCTGGTTGTTCCTCCCATCAAGCTGAAGTTCTTTCTCAGCCCAGTTGGAACAATCCGGCAAGCACTTGTCGCCGCAAGACCCGCATGAACACCCAACTGTTGGAGCGAAGGCCCTCGTCTTTCCTCGCTTCGGAGGCGGCTGGCCACTGGCGTCGGCAGGCGATGCCGCCCTGCCACGGACCATCGGGCCTCAGGCTGAGGCCGGCACCGAGGCAGCGCGCTGAGGCCGGTTGCGCTGGCCGCAGTGCGCCGCAGGAAGACTGCGCAGCGGGCCAGCACTGCGCTGGCACCTCGCCAAGAGCACAACGCTCTGAGCCAAAACGGCCACGATCGCCATCATCATCACATCGCGATCCTTACCATCATCTTGCGCCGTCCCAGGGGCTCCGGAAAAAAAAAAAAAAAAAAAAAAAAAAAAAAAAAAAAAAAAAAAAAAAAAAAAAAAAAAAAAAAAATGGACGGGGGGCACTGCCGCGTAACAATGCAAAGCAAAGCAAACGTAAGCGTAGATGAATACAAGTGGCAACGCAATGCATGACGCATTGCACGGGCGAGGCGACGTGGACACAAACTTACGAGCATTGGCCCATTATGCATGCACCCCCCAATGCCATTTGCCCTTGGGACGCTGACAGAACAAGTGTTGAATAGAAGCGCTGCGGTTTCTGAACTGCGTGAGCTCTCCTGGAGCCGCAGAAGGGGTTGACCCAGCCCGAGAGGCAGAGAACGGAGAGCGTGCGAGAAGTGGCGAATGGCCAACAACGTACACATCAATTAGAACCAGCTCTGCCGCACACCCACGGCGCAAAAGGACAATGAAGTATCGGATCAATTGCCAATCAACTCCTCCGTCCTCAGGTGCATCTCAAGCTATCGACCGACTTGGCCGAGAGAAGCGCAGAGAGGTAGCAACACTCGCACTGAGAAAGCCTTTGCGGGCGTGAGAACATGTCTGAACGCATGGCGGGTAATTATCAACAGGCGTAGCAGGCGTAGCACAGTTTAGAGATGCAAGACCCTGTGGACGAACCTTTCGGATGCCATATGCTTAGGGGGTGGCAAGGCCCTTGCATAATTGTCTACATGGCCATTCTAATACATAATGTTGCGTTGTTTGTTTCCCAAGACACCTGATGGCACGACGCCTCCAGAGACATAGCGGCCCCATCACGTACTCCCAGAATGCCCGCAACATGTGTATACGAACCCCATTGGTGCCAGATTAACCTCAAAGCGAGATTAAACCCAAGACTCCTTAGGCCCCATCCAAGACCTTCAGGGGGTGGGCCAAAGCAACCTTGGGGGGGTCTATATTGTGGCAGTGACGAAGACCAAAGGTGGAGGAGGAGTGGAGGTCACCAGCGATCCCTCGCACAGACGGGTCTGGCTCTCCTGCCCCCGCAAAGGATCTTGCGAGAACGAGCGCGGGGCTGCCTTGAAAAGACCGAGCAGCGATGCAACTGCATGAAGACATGCCAGAAGAAGGAGGAGGAGACAGGAGCATATGAACAAGTTCTGGGGCGAGCAGAAAGAGGGCAATGATACTGAATGCGACGCAAAAGTTCGGTCTCTCGGGCAAGCCGCGCCTGCCTACTCCTGTTCGGGGTGTGAAGGCACAAGCTCCCGTTCAATGAATGTTTCGGTGGCAGACTCGATGTCGTTGTCACGGTCAATGGCACGATCAGCCTTCAGTTGCATGTCTACAAGCACCTTCCTCAAATTACGGGCACGCTTCCTCAATGACTTGATGCGAAATCTGGCGACGACGAGGTCGTGCATCACCTTTTTGAGACGCTGCCTCGTCACGCCTCGTCGGACGGCGCAGACCCATGAAACGTGGCGAGCACGGCTTCTTCTTCGGCGCCATCCAGAGAGAACACTGACGGCGGGGAGGCGCTGGGGGCTCCGGAACCTCGAGGCAAAATGATCACGGCAGTTCGGCGAAATGGTTTCCGACACCCGCGAATCATTTGTTCAAGGGGATGTGTTCGATTGATTGCATGACGCTGGGCTTGGCGCTCAACCTCTGACGACGCTAGCCGAACTCCCTGGCGTTCAACCTCTGGCGGCCCTTGCCTAGCAACGGCGGGAAGCCGACTCCGCCGATTGCACGCGGGAGCAAACTGTTGCTTATTTGCCAAGTCAGTTTGAACTGGCTGTGGCGTTGCTCGCGGTTATGACCTAGCCCATGATGCAAAACCACATGTCATTAGCGAGGCCACGCGCACACCTACCTTCGCCCTCTCGCGCTCCGCCGCTGCTGTGGCTGGGCGCGGCTTGCCCTGCCGTGCTATATGTGGCAACGCATGTGGTTGGAACCGACAGATATTTCGCACCTCGCATGCACGCGAGAAGTTTATCGCACAACGTATACATATACGTGGGCAATGGCCTTGTACATCGCACATGGCTGCCCCCCATGGAAACAACGCGACGCGTGCGTTTCGAGCGCGAAGTGATCGTTCGCGCGGCACGGGCGCGACGCGCGCGTGCAGATGCCCAGCCAACGCGGGGCAACCATGGCTGATTGCCAGGGCGCGCAAGAACTGCATGACCATCGCGGGCAAGGCTACGCAGCCCACCCGCGATATCTCAACACCTTCTCCGATGGCCGCTAGCGCCGACGCAATGCTCGAGGCAACCAGCACAGGCAGACGAGCCGCGCGATGTTCCATCGGGAGCAGCCAGAGAAACGCGCGCGCCATGTGCCGCTTCCGCGTAGACAGAGCATTCCTCTGCCGCAGGCCGAACGCGCTGGGCACCGTCGTCGGCTATGACGGCGCGAGTCGCGCCCTCCGCGCGCAAACAAGTGGCATCGGGGGCGCTAACAGCGACCGCGAACGCGCGCTAAACCCGCCCTTGGGAGCGCGGCGCGCGGCCGCGGCAGAACCTGTCACAAGCCACCCATGCCAGCTCGGCTCCAGACCGACTCGGTCTCGCCCGACTGGCCGCCGCGCACGCGCCGACGCGCGCTACTCAGCGCCATCGACGCTATCTGCGCGCGCTGCGAAGGCGCGGTGGGTCGGCCGCGACATCGGCGCCAACGCCGCCGCGGGCCGCGCCGCGCGCGAGCCCGCCGCGCCGCGCCCGCTAGCGCGATTGCAGCCGCCGCCGTCGCCGCCGACCTCCCTTATCGAGCCGAACGGCGGGGGCCGCCGCATGCCGCGCCGCGCGCGCTGCGCCGCGCCGCGGCGCCGCGATTGCGCGGCGCGCCATTGGGCAGTGGTGCGCGGCGAGGCGCGGCGGCCGAAGAATTCGGCACGGGCGAAAGCCTTGCGACGCGCGGGCGCGGCGTTTGACGCGCCGAGCGGAAGTCGCGGCAGT